CCTTCTCCCACCCTCCAGATCCAGAGAGGGTGGGCTTTTGTATAACGTCACACAGCATGCGCGGTGACAAAGCCTCCCTATCCCAGCTACTTAGGAGGCTGAGGCAGGAGGATCGAAAGTTCCAGGCCAGCCTGGGCAAATTTGTGAGACCCTGACTCAAAATTAAAAAATGAAAAGGACCTGGGATGGAGCTCAGTGCTTGGCGACCCGGTGCCCTGCTGGCCGCTGCCCAGGTCACACCGACCGGACATGCTCCGGCTGTGGCGGGGAAGTGAAAACTGAGCCCAGAAGAGAGGAAGTTCTTGCAGCTGCCGATACCCTCGGCTCTGCCCATGCAAATCCAGGTCTTTCGGGGTTTCTTTCCTACAGCTTTTGCTCCAGAGTGGAATCCACAGAGTTCCTGAGACACGTGACACGTGTGCGCTGTCAGAATGGCTGGCTCGAGGGCACTGGTGACCTGCTTCATCAGGGCTGGTGGTCACTTCTGCACCCTCCAGACCTGGTCCCCCTGCTCCAGCCACATGGCCTCCTCGCTGTACCTCTGTCCTGCCCCAGGGCCTTTGCACGGGCTGTAAAGGTCACCTGGAGTACTCTTCCCCCAGAAACCTCCATGGCTCCCTCCTTACCTTTCTGCAGCCAATTTAATAGTCAGTTAAAATCACACCCATAGAATTTCCCAGGGCTTCTCTGTATGTCTGTGGCAGTTAGCAGTATGGGACAATCTTTAATTCACTCATCCATCACCCTCGCTGTCGGCCATCTGCCTTCTCTTGGAGGGTGGGGCTCCCTCTCTCACTCTAGTCCCTGGCACACAGCAGGCACTCAACAAACACTGCACTTTGAGTTAATACTCAAGTGTGTTTTTAACTTATAAAATTAAACCCAGGGCTTTTTCCCTGAGTTCCATCCCCGGCCATTTTTTAGTTTATTTTGAGGCAGGGTCTCACTAATTCACTGGGTTGCCCAGGATGGGCCGGAACTTGAGATGCTCCTGCCTCAGCCTCCCAGAGTGCTAGGATAACAGGCATGTGCCATCTCGAGAGGCTGTTTTTGCCTTTAGAACAACCCCTTGATTCTCTGTTCCCTTCTGCAGGCTGGCAGATGTCCCCTTCGCCCCTTCCGTCGTCCACTGTTCAGTCCTGTAGGGGCCCACACTGAGCAGCCACTGTATAGCAGCGATGGCTTCCGTGGGTCTCGGGCACATAGGGGGACAGGGGGAGCGCAGGTGGTTATAGCGCGAGGTCCTGGGCAGGAAACGTGGGCGCTGAGGGTCTCGTGGGGCCCCGGGGGTGTGGAAGCCCTGGGACCCAGGTGCAGCCTAGGCCAAGCCCCGGTGGCAGTGGGAGGGCTTGTGGGGCCTCTGAGGGGCCGAGGGGAGCCAGCGTGGTTTACCCGGGCACAGGTCTTCTGTCCCCCAAGGCCAGAGGGAGGGGACAAGTCGTTACTGCTGAGGGAACTGAGAGCTGCAGTGCGCAGATATCGCCACCAGGGGGCGCCGCATCCAACCTCTGCCCCGTCCTTGCCAGATCAGTGGATCTCTCTTGTGGGCCTGAATGCCTAGCCTTGAGGGCCACGAAAAGGTTCCCATTCCACGCCGCGGCAAAGCCACGTCCCTGCTACAACCTCAGCCTGACATCGATCCTATCCCAGCATCCATTTTGGAGGGTTCTTTTTATTTTTAAAATCATCATCATCATCATGGAGCCATGGTCTCACTATGTAGCACAGGCTGGCCTCAAACTGCTGGCGATTCTCCTGCCTCAGCCTCCCGAGTGCTGGGATATCGGGCTTGCGCCACCACGCCCGGCTGATCCCAACCATCTGAACAACCCCATTCACAGGTCACTGCTGTGCTCTTTGCACCGTTTTACAAACAGGGAAACCGGGCCACTGTCTTCGTGTGGTCCCCCAACCTTGCACCCGGCTGGAGGTGCCAGGCTTTTGCGTGTTGCTCAGTGGAAGCCTTTTCTTTCTGTAAGGACTGGGACCCCAGAGAGGGCAGGCAGCTGCCTGAGGTCACGCAGCAGGTTCCCCTCACTCCTCAGGACACACAGGACCTCCTCCGGGCCCGGAGTGTGCCTGGCTCACAGACGCCATCCTGAGCACCCTGAGCAGCGGTCTTATTTTTAACCTGTTTTGCACCTGAGGCCTTATTATAGCCCTGGGAGGAGGCCACGGTTTCAGTTTGCAGAGAGGCCGAGGGGTGTCTCCCTCCCTGAGATAGGGCGGCTGCCTATGTCCCCTGCGGACCCCTGCTGAGGCCCTGCCTGCCCTCTGTCTCTGTCCTCAGCTCAGCACCTCCGCCTCACTCCCTGCCCTTCTTCTGGGCTTCAAAATCCCCACCTGGGGACACGTGACACTCCCTGGTACCCGATTCCAAACCCTGCTTACCTGGTCCCTCCTCAGGGTCTCTGTCAGCAACCTGCACACTTGGGAGTGTTTATTGCATTTATTTCCCAGTACATGTCATTTAATACTTTTCTTTAAACAGGTTTTATGCCAGGTGTGGTGGTGCCTGCCTAAAATCCCACCCCTGGGGGAGGCTGAAGCAGGAAGGTCACAAGCAGGAGCCTGGCCTGGGCTGCATAGCGACTTAGAGGAAACCTGTCTGAAAATATAAAAAAGGCCGAGGAGGACAGACAGAGAGAACTGGAAGCCAGGACACACCCAGCACCTGCTGGGCACTGCGATCTGGACTGGCCTCCCGGAGGTGGTGACTTCCGGTTACTTTCATCAAGGTTGTGGGCTAACAGGCTTTGAAAGATTTCAGGGCGAGGCCCAGGGAACAGGAGGCTCTGCACCCCAGGGACACATGTGGCCGTGGATGCCAGTCTTGGTCACCGCCGGCTCAAGGTGCCTCCATTTCCCCGCCCAGCCCCCCACAGGCCACTGCCCGCCACCCACTGCCAGCCTCGCTCACTCGTGGGGCACGGATCAGATGCGGCAGCTGTCCTGGACAGTCACTGTCCCCCGTCCCGGTCTGGGATGGGGCTCAGAGCCAGGCTATCTTTAACCCGCGGCTGGGACGCACCCTCCTGGTAAACAGCACTCGAGTATCAGCCCTGGCACCCACGGGAACCGCCTGGTCAAGCCGTGTCCCTGCGGCTGATCCCCGAGCAGGCAGGCTGTGGTTCCTCCCTCCCTGAGGCAGCCCTGGGCACTGGGGATGGAACCCAGGGCCTTGAAACTGACCTACTTGCCCAGCCCTTTTTATTTTACTTTATTTATTTTTGAGACCGTCTCACTATGTAGCCCAGGCAGGCCTCAAACTTAGTGACCCTCCTGACTCGGCCTCCTGAGTGCGGGATGACAGGCGTGTGCCAGCACAACCAACCCCCCACCGTTTCTGGAGCGGGGTTTGCAAGTTGTCAATGAATCGGTCAGCACCCTGGCCACGTGGCCACAGGCGGGCCACTTGACCTCTCTGAGAGTGATTTTCTTTGTTCATAAATCTCAGATACTAATTTTATAGTAAACTTTTGGTTTTGGTGGATTGTGGATCCAAACCAGGCCTTCACACTGAGCTACATCTCAGCTGTTTCTATTTTATTTTGAGACAAAGCCCCGCTATGTTGCCCATGCTGAGCTCAAACTTGCAACCCTCCTGCCTCAGCCTCCGGAATAGCTGGGACAGCAGGGGTGCAGCACATTTACTCCCCTATTTAACAAGGCTCCACCCCCAATCCCACCCCCCAGCCTCAGGCTAAGCCAATCAGCACCGCGCATTCGGGACTGGGTGTGTACAGTCAGAGCCGTGGGAGGATCTTGCAGGGAAGAGGATGTGGTCTTCTCCTTTTGGATGGGGACCAGGGACACAGGTCCCCGACAGTGCAGGCTGCCAGGAGGCCTCCTGCACGGCCAGAGCCTGTCTGAAGGGAGCCCATGAACCTGGTTGCCATGCTGAGGCCTCCATCCGGAAGGACAGTGACGTCCTCAGTCTGGGCTTCCGAAGAGTGCTCACCTGGTAGATTCCGCTCCGGGTCCTGCTGGGGTCCAGGGACAGTGACACTCGCGCCCACAAGGCCAAGAGGCTGGAGCTCTGAGGCAAGACAGCCCAAGGTGAGGGCGAGCAGGAGCTGAAGCAGCACCACCTGGCAGGGAAGGAGCAGGCCTGTGCTGTCTGCCGGGTGTGTCACACGCCTGTCATCCCAGCACTTGGGAGGCTGAGGCAGGAGGATCACAAGTTTGAGGGCAGCCTGGGACACACAGTGAGACCCTGTCTCAACCAACCAACCAATCAACCAATAGGGCCAGGGCGGTAGTTCAGCCCCAGTACTGGGCTACAATAAGGGCTCAAAAAAATGCTTCTGTCAGGTTGCCTTGAGAGTAGTCGGGGTAAGGTCCACTCCAATAGCAGATGACATGGTCGCACCATGGCTGACCAGTGTCACCTACTGGCAGCTGTCTGGCCCCCAAAGGAACCAGGAGACGGAAGAGACACCTAACCCAGCTGACCACCAAAGCAGAGTCCCCAGTGTGACCTTTCCCACTGTGACTCTCGGTGGCAAGTGTGACCATTGGCCTTGGCAACTTGACTCATCGCTGGAGAGAACAGCCCCAGGCCCCAGTGCGGTTGGGTGGGGACCTGGCAGGGAGGCGCCTTGTGGCGGGGGTCGGTGCTGGTGTGGAAGGGCAGCCAGGACTCAGGCTCGGGGACCCATGGAGCCCATAGCTTCCCTCAGGGCCCGCCCTGGCCTCCTTGGCCCCGGCTTTGAGTTGAGCAGCCCTTCCTGTGCTTGGCAGCCCCGCCCCAAGGCACACCTGTGGACTAGTTTGGTGGGGTTTTGACAGGGATTTGCTATGTAGCCCAGGCTGGCCTCAAATTTGTGGCAATCCTGCCTCCTGCCTCCGCCTCCCAAGTGCTGGGATGAAGCCCAGGCCCCCACGAGTCCGGAAAGGGCTCTCGACTGAGCTGCACCCCCGTTCCACCTTGGGCTTTCCTATCTGCACGGCAACACCCACTCCAGTCCCAAAAACAGCCACAAGGAAGCGCCAGGCGATTCTATTCCAGTACCTTCCTTTAATACCATAAACGCAGCACAGAGACACAACTGCAGCCCTCGGCTCTGCTCTGTGCTCTGGAAGAGACGGGAATGGCGCCCCCTCCTGAGGGAAGTCGAAGCCGAAGCCTATCTTATCAATCAATAATTTCCTAGAGAACACTGCAAATCCACACCTAATTCCCCTTGCAGGGCAGTGTGCTGGGCTCTGGGGGCCCATCTGCAGCTGACCTGGGGCAGCTGCCTCTGTCGCACTCCCGCTGCTCTTGCTCCTGGAAAGGACCCTGCTGGGGGACCTCTCTGGCACCCACACTTGCCCTGTGGGACTCTGCGGACCTGAACCCAGCTGGCTCTTGGCTTCTGCTTTGTGGAGCTGGGGCTGCTCACTGCCCAGCTGAACCACCAGCCCGGCGAATGGCCCTGGAGCTGTTCCTGGGTCTGGTCCTCGGAGCAGGTGAGGCTGGCACAAGCGACCTGTTGTTTGAACTCGTAGACAGTGCTGAGCCAGGCGCAGGGTGGCAAACCTGTCAAGTTTTGCTGTCGTTCCTTCAGCACCTGACCTCATCCTTGGTAAGAAGAAGTTCTTTCATGTGAATGCAAAGTTGGGAGGCCCATAAAAACAAAGACATCTGTCCTTGTGACCAACTGGGGCTGTGACCTCTGACTTCGCTCCCCCAGTCACTTCCCGTCACAGGCGAGTCAGCCACCTGACACACCACAAAGCCCTCAGGCCTTGGGTTGAACATCGAGTTCGACAATGAAATTCCTAAGAAAATCACTAAGGAAGGCAGCAGCATCTCCGGTCGTGTGTGCAGTGCTTGGACACTACCTGCTTACTATGTGAACAAACCAGCCGCAAGCTACTCAAGTGGCAGGCTGCCTGGGCTGGGCGGGCTCGGGATGACCATGCTGGAAGGACCGAGAGCGGCCTTGCTTCTTGACTCTCCAACTTCTGGGAGGCCTGGTCCTGAGTGTGCTAGGTGCCTTCGCACAGGAACTGGGGGACCAGTTCTCGGCCCCTCCCTGTGTTTCAAGCACAAGGGAACAGCTCCTCCGACACCCAGGCAACAGCACGGAGGCTCTGGCGTCTTCTTCAGCCGCAGGATGGGTGGGTGGGCTCCCGGAGCGACGCTTCTGAACTCCCTTCCCCTCTGCATAGGTGGAGGAGGCGGGAAGCAGGGGAACCCTTCTGCCACCTCACGCTCACCTCGCCAAGGCGAGAATGGGGATCTGCCGCCCACCTGCCCACCTCTCCCCTCGGCGGGGTGGGGAGGTCAGTGCAGCTCAATGAAAGCCTCTAGCTCCTCGGGGATGAAGCCTTTGTAGGGGATCTTGTTCCTGTCTAGGGTGCGGGCGGCCAAGCACTGCAGGGTGACATAGTTGAAAGGTTGCACGGAGCTCCTGGCCAGCAGCTTCTCGTCCAGCAGCTCGTAGGCCGTCTTCTTGAAGGCATTGGTGGCATCCATGTGGGCACCAGCCTCGATCAGGGCACTCATGATGGCCGGGCAGTTGTTCTGGGCCGCAATGTGCAGCGGGGTGTTGTTGTCAAAGTCCCGGCTGTCCGGATCGGCCCCACAGTCCAGCAGCACTTTGACCACATGCAGTGAGGGGAAGGTGCCCACGCGGTAGCGGCCCACGTTGGTGGTCTCCTTGTCCACTGCCATGTGCAGCGGTGTGAAGCCATTGCGGCCACGGGGCGCACACTTAAGCAGGCGGTAGACGGTCTGGTGCTTCAGGTGCTCCTGGCTGGGGCTGCATTCCACCTTCCCCAGCAGGTAGAGAAGGTGCAGGATGATGGCCAGCGCCTTGGTGAACTGGGCTGAGTCCCCAGGCTCCTTGGGCATCTGCAGGGCCCGCTCTACCTCCCGTACCCCTTTGCCGAGCACCCCCATGAGGTCTGCAAAGCCAATCTGCGTGCCCTGGCTGCCCTTGGCAGCCCGATCCTGTAACACATAGGAGAAGAGTTCAGCAAAGGACAGGAAGCTGCTGGCAGTCATGGGGCTCAGCGGCTCCAGGTTCATTTGCTGCATGTCTAGGGCATACTTCCACAGGTGGATGCAGCGCTCGAAGTTGCCAGAGTCGGCATACACTGCACCTCGGTACCGAATATAATAGGATGTGTCTGGGTGCGAGGGGCCCAGGATGCGCTCTCGGATGAGCAGAGCCTGCATGCGCATCTCATCCGGGTCTGTGATCAGCGCTTCCAACTCCTGCGAGGTGTTCACCTCCCTGGAATAGTCATAGGCCAGGACCAGCTGCTGGGGCTCCGGTTTGGGCAAATACTCGCCCCCCTGGTGCCGCAGCTCCATAGCCCGTCTCCAGTGTTTAAGGGCCCCAAGCAGGTCACGCTTCTTATCCACGTAGGTGGCTCCCAGCAACTCCAAGGCTTCCACAGCAGCCTCCCTGCTGGTGGGGCAGCAGCTTTCATAGGATTCGCTGTTGACTTGCTCCTCTGCCGAGGAGCTGCAGCTGCGAGCCCCTTGCAAGCAGCCCTGGCTGGTGGAGCTGCCTTCCTGGATGAGCCCTGGGGGGGTCTGCTCCTGGCCAGGCTGCTCCTGGATGAGGTATTCCACGATGTTGGTGTGGCCGGTCACACTGGCTGCCAGCAGGGGGGTCATGCCGTAGCCGTCGCGCTCCATGCGGGCGTTGCAGCCCAGCAGCAGCTGCAGGATCTCCAGGCTGCCGGACTCGGCACAGTCGTGCAGGGCAGTGTTGCCCTTGGCGCTGCGCCGGTTCACCTGGGCGCCCTGCTCCAGGAGGTAGCGCGCGATTTCGCGGTGGCCCTTGTAGCACGAGATCATGAGACACGTGTGGCCGTGCCGGTTGGCGACCTCCAGGTCGGCCTGGTGCTCACCCACCAGGTAGCGAACCACCTCGAGGTGGCCATCGAAGCAGGCAGCGCGCAGGGGCGTGGAGTTGGTGCGCGTGGTGCGGTTCACCGAGGCGCCGCGCCGCAGCAGGCTCCGCACCACGTCCAGGTGGCCGGCGGCCGAGGCGGCCCACAGCGGCGGCGCGCCTTCGATGGTCTCGCCATCGAAGTGGACCGAGCCCCCGGCCTCCACGCTCGCGCCGCACCGGTCCACCAGGTACTCCACCACGTCCAGGTGGCCGTAGCGGGCGGCGATGAGCAGTGGCGTCCCCCCGGTCGTCACCTCGCCCATCAGCTCGTCAAGCTCTTCCCGGCTCCGGCCGCCGAGCAGCTTCTGGAGCAGCTGCAACTTGCCGTCATGAGCGGCATTGTATACGGCAGTGTGGAGGTCCATGGTCTGGGCTGTCGTCAGGCCATGGGCTGGCCGCGGGGGGGACAGGGAGACGGCAGTTACAGACCAGAAGAGCAACCGACAACCTTCACCGTCTCCCTCGCCGCCATCTTAGGGGCACTCGGGGCGGAACAAAATGGCCACCGCGACCGGGCGCCCGTGGGCATTCGTGGCCTTGCCGGGAAACGGAGTCCTCTACCATTCCAACTCCATAGAACGCACAAGAAGCAGTAGAGGCGGAAGACTACATTTCCCAGAAAGCATCGGCCCCAACCCAGCAAACTGCGAGCAAGATGCATACTGGGAATTGCCGTTCCAATAGAAACGGGTCGCAGGGGAAACCAGCTATTAACGGACTACCATTCCCGGCATGCCATGCTACCATGCTTTCACTTGGGCGACTCGGGGAAATTTGGTGACGTACTTCCTGTTGCTGTCATTGTGCTGGAGCCGACCGGAAGCCCAGACACAAGCCCAGAAGACTCCATTCCGCAGCAAGCCGAGCGAGCTAAATTGGCCAAGCGGGTCTGTCTAGGGCTTAAAATGAGGGGGATCCGCTAACCGGCAGAGGGCGCGCGCCACTTGTGTGGCGTGGACCTGAGGGGAGCTAGGAGGACAGAAGGCGATAAGGGTCGATCTTCATCGCTCACTCATTTTTCATTCACTTATTCATTCTCCTACATCTCAAACATTTATTTCTGTTGTACTGTATGTTAGGTGTCTCTTTGTCTCTCTTTCTCTCTTTTGATTGTACCCAGGCCCTTTGTACAGGGTTCGTGCTGAGATTACAGGCATGCACCACCACACCCGGGTTATTTTTTATTTTAAAACAAAGATCCTCCCAAGTAGTTGGGATGACAGAGGTGTACCATTATGCGAGACTGGTTATTACCTTTTGTTGCTAAGCTATATTCCATTGTGTGGACGATTCACAGTTTCTGTATCCATTACTTATGGTTATTTTTTGTGTTAGCTGATTGAAATAAAGCTGCTATGAACTTTTGCATACTACGGAACTATATTTTCATTTTGTCTTGAGTGATGCCTAAGAATGAAATTATTTTTAACTTGTGAGGTATTGCTGAATTTTTCACATGTTGTTTCTCCTCTCCTTTAGGAAGTCTTGAAAGTTTGCTCCAGGACCTCTTGGGTTGAAAAAGTCCAAGTCACTGATGTGTTAGAACATGATGAACCATTTTCCAACAGGATTTTGTGTATTTTTTTCTCCCCTGAGCTACATCCCCAGCCTGTTTTTATTGCTTGAACTTGCGGTCTTCCTGCCTCAGCCTCTCTGAGTGCTGATAGAACAGCCATATGCCACTACACCTGGTTTCGAAATCTTTTTACTGCAGTTAATGAGTCAGAACTTCAGCAGTGAAATCAGGTCTCTTAACGTTTTGAACACAGAATACTAAACTATGATTTGAAAGTCACATGAGTGTCTGTCACTAAGGACTTTGCCATGTCTTAAACCCCCCTCCACAGATGGCAACGTCCTGCTGTATAATTGTTCTCTGCATAAGTAATTACAGGGTTTATTTTAAAAATTAATTCACCAGCGGAAATAGGTTCGGGAACAGGAGAGCAGCTGAAAGCTACATGTAAGCTATCTGCTTTCAAGGCTGCCAGGGTGCACCTGGGGTTGGCATAGGACCATGTAGGGAGATAAGAATCCTAGCCAAGTGACTCATGGTCAACCTCTGGGACATTTCTTGGTGCTTCTTAGGGCACTTTTTTTTTCTTTTGAGACAGGGTCTGGCTATGTAGTTCAGGCTTACCTTAAACTCACTGTGTTGCCCAGTCTGGTCTTAAACTCATAGTAATCCTCCTGCCTCAGCCTCCCAAGTGCTGGGATTGCAGGTGTGCACCACCACATCTGTCTACTCAGAGCATTTTGTACAGCAGAAAGGCTAAGAGTTTTGAATGAAAATACTTTATTAGCGATTTGTCCTCCATCATAGCCAAGAGGTCATTTCTGTAAACTGAATTCCTGGGTTCAACTGGCAGAATCCTGGCCAGCGTGCATTGTTCAGAGTCCATGAATGTGGCTTTCTTGTCTTAAATGGGATACAGGAGCTGTGCGAGGCATGAGAGGGAAAGGTGTTAGCCAGCTTTCCACTACTGAGATAAAATACCTGAGTATAACAACTTCAAGCAGTGTGGGGTTAAGCTTAATTGTGTCAACTTGATTGGCTTGGGTGCAGCACAGTGGATTAGAAAAGCACACTTCTGGGTGTGTCTGAGTGGCTCATGGAAGTGTGAACCTAGGGGACTCTATCTGGTCCTGCACCCCTTCCTCTGTTTCCCTGCTGTCCTGGGCACCATCTTTGCTTCTCCATGTTCTTCTGCCATGATGTTTCTTCCTTGGAACCAGCTGACCATGGGTTTAATCCCCTGAAACTGTGAGCCAAATTAAACCTCTGCTTCCAGTTGCAGGTGTTGGGCATTATGTCTCAGGGACAGAAAACCTGACTCCTATAGAGAGGAATGGTTTATTTTGGCTCATGGTTTCAGTCTGTGGTAGGCTGGCTCTATTCCTCTTAGATGTAGCAAGGCAAGAACATCATGGAGGACAGATGTGGTAGGGGATATCTGATCACCTTACGACATCCAGGAAGCATTGAGGAAAGGAAAAAGCCAGTGAGGAAGAGGCTGTGGAACAGACAGAGCCCCCAGTTTATGTCCCTGTGACCCAGCACCTTCAAGTGGGGCCCCCTTGCTAAGTCTCCGTTGCCTCCGAGCAATGCCACCAGGTTAGGAGTCCACCAAAGAGCCCATCTTTTAATTTTTTTTTGGTACCAGGAATCAAACTCGGGTACTTTTGCTTGTGAGGCAAGCAGTGGAAACACTGAGCTAAATCCCCAGCCCTCAAAGAGCTCATCTTTCTCCTTTTCTCATCGGGCCCAAACCTTCAACACATGAGCATCTGGGGACAGTCCATGTTCAAAGCGTGACAGAAAATACTCCTGAAAGTGTTCTGTACAGCCAAGCACCATGGTGCTCACCTGTAAGCTCAGCACTGAGCAAGCTGAGGAAGGAGGATTGTCGGGAGTTCCAAGGCAGCCTGGATTACACAGCGAGACCCTGTCTCAAAACAAAGCAAAATGAAACAAGTATAAAAGTGCTCCGTAACTCCAATGTGTGTTGTTGGAGATACAAAGGGGGATTCTTCCATCATCACTTCATGCAACTGCCACCATTGTCACCATTGTTGTCTTAGTTGCCACGCTGGCTGGCTTATGCATCAGGAATGTACGTCCGCATGGTTCTGCATGCTGGGGACCCAAGGTCACCATGTCAGCTGGGTTGGTTTCTCGTGGAGCCTGAGCTTGACTTGCAGATGGCTGCTGTCTCACTGCCACTTCACACAGCCTTTCTTTTTCTTTTTTTTTTTTTTGGTACCGGGGATCAAACTCGGGACCTTGTGCTTGGGAGGCAGGCGCCGGAACCACTGAGCTAAATTCCCGGCCCTCACACGGCCTTTCTGCTGTGCACACCTCTCCCTGGTGGTGGTGCTGTCCTCCTCCTCCTCTCCTTTTCCTTCTCTTCTTCCTTCTCCTCCTCCTCTTCTTCCTCTTCTGTTTCCTCCATCCTTCCTCCTCCTTCCCCTCCCCTTCCTCTTCCTCATCCATCTTCTTTTTCTTCACCTTCTTTTTCTCTTCCTTTCTTCTTCTTCCTCCTCTTCTTTTTATGAAGGACACGGAAACTGCTGATCTAAACAGTTTATAAAGTCAGTGACTGTCCTGCCACAAAAGGAGCCAGATGGCATCCAACAGACCGGAAGTGAAGGGGGTAGGGGGAGGAAGGGCCAGGAATCCATAGGCAGCTGGGACTGGTGAGAGGAGCAGGAAGAGAGCTGCAGCACCCACGAGGATTGCAGAGCTTTGCCCTGGCCTGGGGGAGAGCACCTTGTTCCTTCAGAGAGGAGAGGGAGGCCCCCGCACCTCTGCACACTATGGAGACCGTGTTGGGGATGGGGGCTCCGCGGAGCGCATCAAGGAAGGCATCACGGCACTCCTGCCCCAGGCACCCGTCCAGGACGGCGGGGTGTAGTGCGCGTGTGTCCCCCAGCCATTCCCAGGGCTCTTCTTCTCCCTTCAGCGCGGAGACTGACTTGGAACCACATGCGCCGTCCAAGCCCTGGACTCGGGCTTCGTGTCCGGCCAGGTCCCCACTGGCTCCTCCCCATGGGCTCTGCTAGGAAGCTGTGGAGCTTTGCGGCAGTTGTCTCCTGACTGGGCTTAATCTGCAGTTCCGGCTCCACACGGCTCCTCCCAAACTTCGGCCATTCTCACCACTTCCTACAGCCACAACCACGGGCTTTAAGTTCTGCTCTGCCTTCCTCTTCCTGTAGGGACACAAGTCATGGAGGGCTACGGCTCTTCCCTTCAAACCTCATTCTAACTCAGTCACCCCCAATAATTCTATCTCCAACACAGGAAGGTGGGACTTCAAAATATGAATTTTGGGCTGGGGATTTAGCTCAGTGGTGCCGCCGCCTGCCTTGAAAGCACAAGGTCCCGAGTTCAATCCCTGGTACCAAAAAAAAAATATATATATATATATATATATATGAATTTTAATTATATGAAAGTACATTTTAGTCTATAATAACAGCTCTATCATCACCATGACTACCACCACCATCAGCAGGACCATCACCGCCTTCATTCCATTCTCATCACTTTGCATTACCTTTTTGGAACCCAACAGATCTGAGTTCTAATCCTGACTCTGTTGCTTCTCAGTCAGGTCTGCAATGAGTCAACATTGTTAAACCTGCATTTCCTGAGCCATAAACGGCAGCGACCCCTTAACAGTCCCACGGGACCACAATGAGCAGCTGATGCCCTGAGGTCTGCACAAGAAGCAGCTGGCAGCAGCTCTTCCTTCCCCGTGGCATCTGGTCAGCAGCATATGAGAGCAGTGAGTGTGGTGAGCCATGAGTGCTGCCACCAGCCTTCCCTGGGTCGGGGCTCAGCTGCACCCTCATCAGCTTTCTGAGATTGCAGGGGGCCCTCTGAGCCCTGATGCCCCCATCTGTGAGGTTAGGGTTAGGTGAGGAAATTGTCAACAGCATGTGACGCAGAGCCCTGCCCAGCCTCACACAGCACAACTATATTTTGGCCAAGGATGGACTGCACACATGACAATGATCTCATAAGATTACAGTGGAGCTCAAAATATCTGCCACTTGGGCCGGGGATGTAGCTCAGTGGTACCGCACCTGCCTTGCAAGCACAAGGTCCTGAGTTTGATTCCCGGAACAAAACAAAAAAATTTTCTGCCACCAGCTGGAAATGGTGGAAATACCTATCATCCCAGCACTCTAAGAGGCTGAGGCAGGAGGGTCAGAAATTCCAGCCTAGCCTGGGCAACTTAACAATGAGTTAGTGAGATCTTGTCCCAAGAGAAGAAATAAAAAAGGGCGGGGGATGGAGCCAGTGCCAAGGCCATTGGCTCACTCCTGAAAGCAGAGAGAAAAAAAATCCTACCTGCCATCATGGTCATTAAATGTCATAGTGTAACACATTACTCATGTATTTTTGGTGGTGTTGAGGTAAAGAAACCTACTGGCCTGAGAGTCCGATGAAAATATAGCAGTGCAACTATACATAGTATATAGTACTCAATAATGAAAGTGAGTGTTTGTATTACTGGTTATGTTTTTACTGTAACCATATCTTTAATGTTATTTTTGTTTTGTTTTGTTTTGTTTTGAGGCAGGGTCTTGCTATGTAGCCCAGGCTGGCCTCAAACTCTCAGTGATCCTGCCGCCTCAGCCTCCTGGGATGACTGGCATCTGCTACCATGCCTGGCTACTTCACCTTCTCTAGTTCTTGATTTAATCTCGTGTTCCTTGCTCCCTGTGGCCCTGGGAACAACAGGCTGTACCGAGTCACCCCATAGCCCAGGCGTGTCAGGCTCTTCTGTCTCTACTGTATGAGTGCCCTCCATGATGCTGCATGGTGATGAGATCGCCTAGCAACTCATTGCTGGGAACACAGCCCTGCCGCTAAGTGACACGTGACTGCACACAGGAAGCCTCAGTAAGTGGGAACTCCTGCTACTATGATTGACATGTTCTTTTTTCCACTGTCACTCCATGCTTGACCAGAAAGCATCTTCCTACAACTGGCCACAGTGGCTTTGACCAAGGACAAGGGTTTGGAGTACCTGACACTCAGGAGGGGGACAGGGAGAGTCAGGAAAAGGGCTGCTGGACACTGAGATGTGACTCGTCTATGATCACTGTGCATGGAGGGAAGAGGATGAAAACTCCCAGGGTTTGTTCCACTGACCAGTGAGGAGATCCATATGTGGCTGAGAAGAGGGAGCCCTGTGTGGGAGAGGCTGAAGAGGCAGCCTTGTCCTTAGAGACTCTCATGAGGGAAGGGTGGGCAGGTTGGAGGGCCATGGCAGCCTAGGTTTTACTTTAGGATTGGTAAATGTGTTCACAACTTTGTGTCATCCCTCCATCTTCTCTCACCTTCTCCCTCTCACTATCTACTTGGGCTACGTGGCTGCTCAAAAGGAAAACTACACTTCCCAGCTTCCCTTGCAGCTAGATGCAATCATATGACCACACACAAGCCAATGGGAAATGAGCAGAAGTGGTGTGCCTCACAAGGAAGAAGCCAGAGGCTGAGTTTGGTGGACCACTAGGATTATCTCTGTGGGCTTTAATTAAAATGGAGTCCAGCCATAACAACAAAGCAAATACCTCAGTTCCACCACTGCAACTGCCCAAATAGCCATATGTGGCTAATGGCTGCCATATTGGGCATCTCAAACAATTGTTTCATTGGACATTGGAAATCACAGATAGAAGGATCCTAAGTCTTTGATAATGGAATTGTAAACTGCAAAACAACTTCCTGTTTTTAAAGACTCTCATGAGTCAACTCTTATGAGTGTCTTTAATAGGGGTGTCATGGCTGCCTTGATGTCCTGAATCCACTCGAAATAGTTCCCTTTCATGCCCACTTTGACTTTTGGGAGGAGCTAGAAGTCACTCTGTGGCAGATCCAGTGACTAAGGTGGATGAGGACACAGTGCCATGTTTTTCAAGTCTGCCTTTCCACTGGATGGTGCTCAGCAGCTGTGTTCACTGTATTTTTTTTTATCACACTTCATGTATACACTCAAGAATGAGGACTTCTGGAACTGCTGCGGGAAGGGGCAAGCGTGATGGGACAAATGTGTCCACGGAGAGGAGGAGGATTTTGAGGGGGATTCATGGAAATGAGTGCTTTACTGTAATAACATTTTAAAAATCCAGACATTCACTGTACATTTTGATCAAATATCCCATTCCAGCTTCACCTGTTACATAATGTACATATTTAGTATACCTTTTTCTTGTTCTAGCTTTATAAAAATTAATTATACTGGGGCCGGGGATTTAGCTCAGTGGTGCCACCACCTGCCTTGTAAGCTCAAGGACCCGAGTTCGACCCCTGGTACCAAAAAAAAAATTAATTATACTGTAAACTGAACCCAGGGCCTTTGCACTGAGCTACATCCCCAGCCGTTTGAAAAAACTTTTTTTTTTCAGACAGCGTCTAAGTCGTCGTCACCCAGGCTGGGCTTGAACTTGAACTTGAGATCCTCCTGCCTTAGCCTCTCAGAGTGCTGGGATGAGAGGTGTGCACCACTGCGCCTAGTTTCTTGGTTTGTTTTTGGTCTTGGGAAGGGAAGCCTGGGCCGTGGGCATGCGCAGTACACGCTCTCTCCCAGCCCCCACGCAGCTGCTCTGAGCACTGCCCCAGCCCACCTACCCTAGATGCTCTGCGTCTTGCAAGTCCTGGGGTCCTTCTGCCTCCTCTTCTTTCATTCTGATTCTTTTCTGTGTCCCCGCAGGGCTGTAGGGAGGCGGCAACGCACAGCCAAGTCTGTCCCTGTGCTGCCTGTCCCTGTCCTTGCTCCGGGCTCCAAGCTCAGCCAACGCAGAGCACGGGCCAGGGAGGCCACAGGAGAGGTTACGGATGCGCCAGAGCCTACCTGGGAGCTTCACAAGGATTTTAATGAAAAAACATTTAGAAAAAATAGAGAAATTAATAGGACAGATCCCGAGACAGAAT